TAATTTTAAATAAAAAAGTCAAATAATTTCTGACCGTACGATACACGATGAATAACTAAGATATGAAAATCTCTAAAATTCCCACAATTTGGATCCGGATGGGATCTAAATCCCTTAAATAGAATGCAAACTTCTAAAAGAATAACCAGGCCATACCAACCCAGGTTAACTATTCTGTTGATTCTGGTTGTGAAACTGAGAACAGTACTACACTATAAGCATATACACTTACATTTTTACCCCCAAGCACACAACCCACAAGCCACATGCGTAAGTGCCGAAAATTGTCGTCGTTCGCCGTTATTGGTGCCGAATTTTTTCAACTTATTGTTCAACGATGACCTAAAAATTTAGCAATAGGTGCAAATTTGTCATCTTAAATTATGTTTGTTGTGTGGTTTTATTGTTTTTATATGTATACACAACAAAATTAGAGAATTTATTAGAAAATTCATCACTTAACATGTATTTTTTTTAAAGCCACTCTTGGACATCGACGGTCGACCTTGAGACCAAAATTTGACTGGCTGGTTGGAAAATGTGGTAGGATTTAATGGTAATTAAGTAATCATTTTGAGTTATAGTAGTATTTTTTGCTTATTTATTTATAATTTATACTTGCAGAGCTTTTTATTTTATATTTTATCGTCATATACCTAGTTGAATACTACTCCGAATGAGATACCTATTTAGGATTTTTTGTCCTACGAGTTTGGAGTTGTATATCGTATCGAAAATTGTCAATAATTTTTTTTAACTCTTTGTTTGGTGAATAAGGGCTCGTTTGGATGTGCTTTTAAAATAACTGAAAGCGTTTTTAGAGAAAATGTTTTTGGATTCCAAAAGCACTTGAATTGTTTTCTGCAAGAAGCACCAGTTATGCGTTTCTAGGATTTACTTGCATTTTTTTAAAAACATTTTTATCAAAATCGCTTTCAGTCATTTTAAAAACACATTAAAACGAACTCTAAATCTCCTAGAACTAACTTCAAATGATTGGTCAATGGAAAACGAGTAAAGATCTGAAATTCCCAACTCAAGTTCAAAACACCCATAAATGCATTTCTTGGGGCCACCATCTCTGTTTTGAGCACCACTTGACTTGGAGGCCAAAAGTTTGTTAACGGACGGCTCATGTTACACGACGTTACATGAAAAAGGGGATCATTGCATCATTAATCTGTGGTACGTAGAACATCTTCAATACTTTAACAACAACTCGTAAAACTTGCCTGGATATTGTTTATGGGCTTTAATTTCCTTCGGCGCTTTGGGGCCTTCGGCCCAAAAACATTTTTGTAACTTCAGCATGGAGGGGAAAAGGATATTATTTAAAAAGGAAAAGCTTTAGCATGCACGCCAGATTCTACTTACTGTTGTAAATCTAATTACGGTTGAGTATGGCAAGAGATTCGTAGCTCGGATAAGAGCGTTTACAAAATCTTATATTCAACTCCCTTCTGTTTTAATATCGCTTATATAAAAATAAAAAAAAACACACATACAAATATATACTGATTCAAGCACCATGCAAGTGTTGAACCACATTACTTAATGGATAATCCGTATTATGTCAGTATCACGTACTAAATACCAACAGAAAATGGACCAAATTGATGTCGGTAGTGCTGTAGTTTAGACTGTAACAGTCACTCTTTGTCGTAAGAAAATGTTAGAGCTATCCTGTATGATAGCGAGTACTCATGCAGAAAGAAAAACAAAAACCAACTTGTTTAATTACTCTCTTCTCTTTAACTTTATCTCTTTGAGCAAATAACAGATTATTTTTATCACAACTTTGGCTGATAGCAACAACAGTATACCTTTATCGTGAAAACACAAAGACCCTTGCCCTAGCCAAGCTGCCATATATACACAAGTAGCCAATATTACCAAGTTGAAAAACTTAAAAGAGGATCAGTCTAGCTGCTCTGAGCAAAAAGAGATCTGGTCAGTGCAAGCTGCATGCATACATATATCTTAAACTTATTAAAAGATGTTGGAAACTATGGAAAAAGCATGCATAAGAGAATATCATCATCGTGTAATCTTTGTCAAGAGTCTTTTTCTTCTAATAAACAAAAGGAAATTAATTATAATGCATATTGCAATTCAAATTTAATTCCGTCTACGTATCTAGCAAAAGCAAAACCTCTCTCAAAAGGGAGGAAAGTCCTCCTTCTACGTACCCTAATGTGATATTATACTAGCATATAAATATATCGGTATTGTCAAATTCTCTTAACATCATGTAAAGACCATCTCTTCAAGAAATTATTAAACGTGGAGGCTGTTTAGTCATCCATATATGTCTATCGAAAAAACAACAATTCTAGTAATAGGTAGATCTATTTTTTACTAAAAAGAAAGGAAGAAAGGAGATGGTAATAAGATGGAAGAGAATCTTGTTCCTTCTTTGTCTATATAAATGCCAAGTGAGAAAGCAGTAAAAAGAGAGTCTGATTCGGTCTTTGAGTAATTGTAATGAAACAGGTCGCAGCAGCAGCAGCAGAAAGCATGCAGGGAGCAGGTGAGGTAAATCGAGTGTATTGTTTGCAATAGTTTATAAATAAATGCCAAAGTAAATGGTAAATCCATATTTTCTACGGCGCAGAATGGGCGGACATCAAATGTGGCGTAGGGCATGCCGTTTCGGACAGACAATACGGCAACAAATGTTAAGGAAATTGTGTCACTCTGTCGCTGTCTCCCCTTCCCAGTTAATTTCCATTAGCAAGTTTCGTCTTCTCTTGTTATTATTTGTCATGGGGCATGAGATGTCCCCTTTATACGATGAATTCATATTTCTTATTTTTACAACTTAATCAAAATCATGAGATTAGTTGACCATTTTAGCAATTGATGTATTCTTATTGCATTAGATGTTATGAACTTATGTGGTCAATCAACTCGTATGAGTTTGTCCGGTTATAAAATACGGTTTTTATCATTTGAGAACAACTTTAACGAGGTTGTTTTGGATATATGTGAGTGTCGATTAAAATATTGGCAGTGCAACTAAAAGTAGGAACACAATTAACATTTTACATGTAAAGAATCATTAATCAAATTGTATCCTATGGCCTCTCTCCTCTCCACTCTTGTAAATGCACGAAATTATCCAGTTTTGAAGTGAAAGCTACTTTCCAAAAAATGAGAAAATGAAATGAAAGCCGTGTAGCGTTCTTTCAAACGGACCAAAAGTGTTGTTGGGCCTCACTTAACAATGCCTTGGTAGGAACTAGGAAGCTTCAGTTTTGATGCACATGGACAAGATCCCCTTCCTATATTCCTAATCAATCTCCACAACATGCTTAAAGAAAAAAAATTATGAACTTTCCATACGCTAGGAAATTTCCCTTTGCTTTTTTTATTGGAAATTTTATGGTAGGATTTAACTTTCTGTTTATAATGACTCGAAACATTTACATGAAACGGATTTTATAAATATGTGATACTTAAGTTCTTATCTATTACAGTATCATGATAATAAATTACTACCACATGATAGTAGTTCGAGTTTGATTATCTCATTCTTAAGCCCTAAACAATATAATCTTCATAAAATATAAGTTGAGTCATTTGGATGAATTTTATAAGTTTTGATGAAGTGATTTTGTACTTGGGTTATTATTATTTTTTTTTTAAGAGGAAACGATAGTTGATTTTATTCACAAGTTTAAGAAATGATATAATTTTGAAGGAGGACATTTTGGAGAAGATTTCCTCAAATAAAAAACTAGAAAAATTAGAAAATAAGGGCGAGTAGGTCATTCTATGTGCCGCATAATTAGTGATTCTACGAACATGATGAACTCTAGCGGATTTAAAACCCTGTAAACTGGGCTTAATATCCTCAATTAAGGCTGCCAATAACTTGAACAACCTAAAGCGCATTACACTCGAGTATAACTTGCAACCAATTTCTTTGAGATGCCAGCCGAAGACCCTTACGAGCAGCTAGAATCTCGTGCGAGATTTTCCGAACGAAACCTATAGCATAACTACCGTCATCGTGTCAAAAAATCAACACCGATTGCCCGAGAACATGTACTTGCGATTTTAATTTTTCTTCCACGTGAAAAAGAACTGGTAATATATTTTTCGCTGAAATTAGCGTAAAAGACCTAAAAGCTGCTTATAATCCAGTAGTAAAGTAAAGTAAGCTGTAAAAGGTAAATAATAAGTTCTTGTTTGAATTCGAGAGCAAGAAACCGAAAGACCAAAAGAAGAAAAAAGACGAGTTGTCAGTTGAGCATCTCTGATGAATCCGAAAAATGACTGTTCGTTATTCCAAAATTGCACTGTTTCTGTTACCGGGTTGACCATCTTTTACTTTCTATTGGTACACGTGTCGGTCTGCATTACATCCCCCGGTAATTTTCTAACGGCGTTCCAGGTATACGCAGTCAACGCTTTTCCCACTACAACAAAGACCTTCCTTAATTTTTGACCGCGTGACCAGTCACGTTTCCATCTCAACCATCAAAATATCCCATCTGACGGTGTTGAAACTCCCAAGATCTAAACTGTGCTTCACGTGATTCTAAGGAAAATCATTCGCTTTTTTAACTTAAATCAGTGACCAAATAAAATTAGGGCTCGTCTGATAAGTCTGATAATTGTTTTTAATAATTGAAAATATTTTTAGATAAAATATTTTTTATTTCAAAAACATTTGAAATGTTTTTTTAAGAAGAATTAACTTACATAAAGTACTTTAAATGTCTTTTCAGTATCAATTCGTATTTTTACTAAAAATTAATTTTATAAATATATTCTGTAAAATCGTTTTTAATTATTTAAAATACTTGTCAAACAAGCCATTAAAAGCACTGGAAGTAGAAATGTTCACAACTTTAGGCCACATTTATTTATTTTTCAATCAAATCTGATTTCCTCTAATAATATAAAGTAATGGCTGAATGCGAACGCCAAAAAAAAAAAAAAAAAAAAAAAAAAAGAAGGGACAGGCGTGAAGGGTTCTGAGATAAAACCCCTTCGCATGCTTCCTGCGTTTGGCGCTCTCTCTCCTAAAAAAGTAAAGAGAGAGAAAGGAACAGACTCAGAGATGGATATCGGCATGAGCTCAACCCTTTCTCTCTCCCTTGTTCTTTTTGTGTAATGACCAAAGCTTTTCTTCTCTTCTTCTCCGAAGAAGATGGCTCTGCAAGAAGAACCTCAAGAGCTCCAAAACCCTCCAATGGCGTTCGATCCTTCATTATTCTGCGAAGAAGGATTTGAGGAAGATTTGGGAGACAATGGTAGTGAGGAGGAGAGCGAGAACTGTGATGGGTTTTCAAAAAAGCAATCATCTTTCCCTTTGATTTTCCTGGAAAGTGATATGTTCTGGGAAAATGATGAACTTTCCTCTCTAATCTCCAAAGAGGAACAAACCCATGTGTGTATCAGTGGAGAAATCTCAGATGGGTCTTTGATGGCGGCTCGGAAGGAGGTGGTTGAGTGGATTCTGAGTGTAAAGGCACACTATGGCTTCTCCTCTTTGACCGCCATTCTGGCTGTGAACTACTTTGATAGGTTCATTGCCAGCCGGCCGTTTCAGAGGGACAAGCCGTGGATGAGTCAGCTCGCTGCCGTCGCCTGCGTCTCGTTGGCCGCCAAAGTGGAGGAGACCCATGTGCCCTTTCTCTTAGATTTGCAAGTACGTGTAAATTTCCATTTGTAATTTGAGTGTTTGTGAAATTGCTGGACTGTTGTGTTTATTGGATTTCTCGTGATTGTGATTAGGTGGAGGAAACAAAGTATGTTTTCGAAGCGAAGACCATTCAAAGAATGGAGCTTTTGGTGCTATCGACTCTCGGGTGGCGGATGAATCCAGTGACCCCAAATTCGTACTTTGATCACATTATCAGGAGGTTTGGTTTGAAGAGCCACCTGCATTGGGAGTTTCTGTGGAGGTGTGAGCGCCTACTTCTGTCAGTCATAGCGGGTGAGCAATCTAAATAAGCCTTCATTTCGTTTTATAATCGATGAGTTTATTAGTATCAAACATGTATCAAGAAGGCATAAATGTATTCATAATGACACCAGTTGGTACTGAATCTTACATTTGATACGGTGTTTTTATTGCAGATTTGAGATTTACATGTTATTTGCCTTCCGTATTAGCCACTGCGACAATGCTGTATGTAATTGATGAGATTGAGGCATTTAATCCTGTGGAATACCAAAACCAGCTTATGAATGTACTTAAAGTCAGTAAGGTTTGTACTTAATACATCGATTTCTCACTTCTCGTGTAATTTCATCTCCTGCTTCTGTAAATGTAATTCAATTCAAGCTTGATGTCTTAAATAGTAGAATATTATTATGTCCTTTACAGGACAGAGTAAATGAGTGCTACAAGCTCATCCAGGAACTAGCAGTCAGCATCGAAAACCAAGACCACAAACGCAAGCATTTATCGGTACCCAGCAGCCCAAATGGAGTTATTGATGCATCTTTCAGCTGTGATACGTCAAGTGATTCGTGGGCTATAGCATCACCGGATCCTCGATTTAAAAGGAGCAGACTGGAGGACCAGCAGATGAGGTTGCCCTCTTTAAATCGTGCGTCTGTGGACGTGCTGAGCAGCTCTCGTTAGTCTCTAATTGTCTTTTGTCTACTATTAAACATAAAATCCCTCTTTTGCATATTATATTATTGGCAGTATCTACTTTGAGAACATTCTCTAATATTATCATCATTGCTTTTGTGGCCAAACTGTGAAAATGAAACGCTGTGAGATTAAAACTCCACCTCTCTTACCTCTTTCTTGAGATGTGGTTTGGGGGTGGTGGTTTACGGATGAGTCGAAGAAATCCATCATGCTTGATCTGCCATATGATAGTGTTTAAGTACTTATATCATGCATACACCCACAATTGACACAATTATATATTATCACTTATTCATTTTGTTATATGTAGTTGTCAAGAAAATCCTCTTTATGCCCTTTATCTACCTTGACTTAGCTTGAAACTAAACCTAAGGCGTCCATGAGCACCGCAGTGGGTGGGATGAGGGTAGATGTAGAAGTGTAAGTTCAGTTCCTCTAAGCAAAAGGGAAATGGAACAATAAAAACGCCAGATATGGAGACGGGCAACGCTAGTACTTCATACCAAACAAAAAGAAGTAAATGTTGGGCACTGAAAGTCTTTGATTGTTCAGCATGATTGAACAAAACAATGACTTTGGAATTTTCTAATTATAGAGAGGTGAGAAATGAGCAGTGTGCTTGTTAGTTGGTTTGTTGAGCTACATTAGAGAGAAGTTTAAATGTTCAAAGCCCTATGATTAGGTGATTTGATTGGGTTGCTCTTACAACATGATCAAACTCATCATTAGACATTTGCAAGGTTCCAAACGACCGAATATTTTCTTGCCAACATTTTGTCCTGCCTTAGAGGCGTTTAACTTTGTGTTTGTGCCTGTGCACATGTCCAAAACCAGTACAGTACTCATAAAGTAGTCTCATATTGGTATTATGCTAATTGAAATGATATACATAGTCCCAAACTAGAACAATCCGACTAATACGTTTATCTATTCTTTTCACTTGTACAAATGATTGTTGTGGCTGAGTAACTAGTCTGATTGGTGTAGCTTGATCTAAGTACATGTTCAAACAATGCATCTAAACAACTTATCGTAAGGTTATTTAGCCACATTGATTTGTTTCTCTGTCGGTCTTTTTAGGTCCCCTGTCAACACCTACTCCCTTCTTTGTTTTGATTTTGATCCAACACCATATTTCAAATCTGCAATAGTCAATTGCTAAGAGAGTGAGCAATGTATCTTTTGCAAGCAGGCAATGAGCAATTTAGTAGCGTTGTCTTCATATGTTTGTAGAAGTCCGTAGTCTGCAAGTTTAAGCACCTTGTTTGTACATTTATGCATCTGAATGCCCAGCTACATTTGTAAGTCAGACTCCATCCGTTGATTGCAAATGCAATCAGCAAGTAGAGTCAATGTTTATAGTAACAAGCGTCTTATGTTTAGTAACGATGCATTGTGTTCATGAATTATCATCCATAAATTTCTGTAAGGAAAGGTTTGAAATTGGGTTTTTGAAGGATATGGGAATTTGTGAGGAAGATGTCTTTGTTCTTGTTGTCTGTGGTCCTCCCCTGCCTTTTTTTTTCTTTAGGTTGGTTAAAGTTTTAGCTACATCCCTTTCGTATCATAAGTCGCATGCAGAGAAAGAAGAAGATGATGATTCATGACAGTATAAGATTCTTCAAAAAATTAGAGCAAACAAAGCAGAACTTGTTTGCATCTATTTTTCTCCATCTCCTTTTTCCTCCTGTCCTTAACATTAGGCGTGCCATAGTCGTTCGTACTGTGAAATTTGAAGAGTCAAGGGTCAGAAATTTTAACTTAAAACGTATGACCAACAAGAAACAACTACTTATGTTGTTTTGTTTCCCATGTTATTCTTCCAGCCAGATGTCAAGCACCACGTTGTCAAAACGAAAATTGCATATGATGTATCTGTCTGTCTCACCAAACATTATTATGTTTTTGATGACGAAGAGGGCTGACCAGTTCAAAGCTGATGGACAGGCACGGTCATGTTGGTTGTAAATTGATTTGGGTTTTAAATGACAAAATTAATGCTGAGGTCAGATGAAGTACTAGTTTTGTTTGGCGATTACCACCTAATACCTGGCGCTTAGCGATCTAGTGGAAATTGGTTGGTAGGACGACAATAGGATGAATTGTAAATCTAGACATTAGTCGGTCAATTCTCGATTGATTCTGCGAGTCTCGATTTGACCGTCACCCGAGTTGTGGTAGTGGTTCGTGTGACCGGGGTATGCTTTATGTCTTTTATGGGATACACAACTTCTAAGATTGCCCGTGGGTGCGGGGTCGGAGGGAGGGTTTTATCCTTGATACAAAAGAAAGAGATATTAAAAAATGCTGGCAACCTTCTCACTTCTCGTAATCTTCCGGTGCATAATTGTAGCAATAACTAATAAGAAAGTTGAAAGGCGTTTAGCATATTAGATAAAGTGGATTAAGTTGGGAACACTGCAGAGGTAGAGACAAGAAACCACTCCTGCATCCAACTCAGACTAGGACGAGGAGTACGAGAGTGGGGTCCTCTCCGAATGAGCAAAAATTAAAGGAAAAGTGGCTTCACTGGTTTGCAATTATCATGCATAAATGTTGTGCATCCACCAAATTTACTGACCAGGAAGAAAATGGCTCCTGTTTGTTATCTGTCATCCATTTTATTGATGAGCTTCTCATGAACATAAATCGTAGAGTAGCTCATTTCTTGTAGCTTTACCTTCCTCTATTCGTTGTGTTTGGATAAACACCTTTGCAGAGGAAGGTAATCTCGCTTAATCCTAAACGACAGTGTCGAAGACATAATTGACCCTAAACGTTAAACTCCAAACCTTGCATGTGTGCGAAACGAAGGGCGGGAGCAGAAGCTGCGTCATTAACCATTTTCCAAATAATTAATCTGGTTTAGCATATAAAAAGGAGTAAATCACAAGGTAAAATATGAACATATGTATTGTGGTTAATAAGAAATTATATAGAGGAAATAGTACACAAGACATGTGAGAGAACAGAAGTGAAGAGTTGTTGAGAACAGCTAGAAAGTTTTGTTTCTGTATCTTTTTGGAGATATTGTCAAAAGTGTATCAATTGTTCCTATCAAGCTGCTGAAATGGCAAGTCCTCAGTGTTAATTCACTAAAAACATTTCAGAGAGCCTTTCATCTTCCACCTATTCCTTTTGTAACTTTGCGTTTTTTCTTAAATAAATTTAATGTATCAAACTATCTAATCTTTGAACATGATGTTTCCTTTTCCTTTTGGTATGCCCTAGAGACAAAGTTATAGGACTTCAAGAGAAATGTCATGTTGGTTGGTGCTTTGTCTTAGTCTTGATTTTGTTTGTGTTCTGCTTGGAAATGCTGGGTCAAGTTATACCCTAAAAAGATAAAAGACACTTATCTAAATCTAACGGGAGCGAATGAAACATCGGTGTGATGTACGTGAAGGACTCTTCGTGATCAAGTCAGAAATATTACTCAAGAAAGATTGCACAATTGGAAGTATATAGAGATTTAAGGTATGTGAGTTTACACCCTTTGCTCTCCTTTTTGGTTTGAGTATTCTTGATTTACCAAATGAAGTGACATACGACATAGCTGGAGATGCCGGGTTTTTACTCTCGTGTGAATTGCCATAGAAGGGAGAAGCGCGTGATGATTTTTTTTTTAGTGTGAATAATTATAAGCAAACCGACGACTACATATATTATATACCAATATGTTTAACAATATTATTACAACGTAATTAAAGTCTTGCTCCTTTGGGTCATTCTAAACATAATTAGGAAGCCAAAGCTTGCTAGACTGGATGGGTTATGTCTGTATATATGCAAAGACATCATCCAGTAAAAATACATTATGCAGTAAAAATATATAAGTAATGAAGTACTACATCCAGTAAAAATACAATCCAACATCTGGTAACTAAGAAACAAGACATTAAAGGAGACAGGCTTATCTATCATGCCTTGTTTGAGTCTTTGAGATGTTGCTGGATAGCCAATCGAGGCCCTCGTAGAGTCCTTGGCCGGAGGTGGCACTAGCAGCCTGAATGTACCTGTACAGATATGTTAAAACCATGGTAAGGCTAAGTCAAGTCATGTCAGATCATAAATCAAGACCCCTTCGGTAAGGCCGAGTCACGTTTATATCTTCAAGTTTGACAACAATATAACATGTCAGACTATCTAAGACAGCATTCCTTATCTTGTAGATGCTATAATATATGTATGTAGCACGTTTTAGTTGTTACCATCTGTGTTGCCGGAGTGAATGCAGGCCAAGCTTATCAGTGATCTCAGAGACATTCATGGCATTCGGAAGATCTTGCTTGTTGGCAAATACAAGCAGTGTTGCGTCACGGAGTTCATCCTGCAACAACAAAAGAAAAAAGGATCAATTGATATTTGTATAGTACAAAAATTAAATAGTTTTGATAGCAATTTATACAAGGAACAAGGAAACTGACCTCATTGAGCATTCGATGGAGCTCATCTCTTGCTTCCAAAACTCTGTCTCTGTCATTACTATCCAGCACAAAGATAAGACCTTGAGTGTTCTGAAAATAATGTCTCCATAGCGGCCGAATCTACATATAACATATAGTTAATCAAGAACAAATTCCCATTAGCTTAACCCTTCCTTTAATTTCTAGCTTCTCTAGCATAACAAAATCTCTCTCAGAAAAGGATTCAAAATAATCTATGTTGCAGTCACAAAGATCAGTACTACGACATATTATTAGATACACAAAACATGTACATCTGCACTCTCTACCAGATTGTTTGTGAAACCGACATAGCACTACGCCAGAAAAATTAGTTTAAAAAAAAAAAAAAAAAACAAGAATTAGCTAGTACCTTGTCTTGTCCTCCGACATCCCAAACAGTGAAGCTCACATTTTTGTATTCAACAATTTCCACATTAAACCCTGGTCACAGAAAAATCAATCGAAACCAATTTCCTTCATCCGAATTCGAATAGGTATATATACTTAAATATAGTAAGTTGAAGAAAAAATAACAAGTAAAAGTTGGGGTAATCAATAATCAGTAGTATATACCAATTGTGGGTATGGTAGTGACAACCTCTCCAAGTTTGAGCTTGTAGAGGATGGTGGTTTTTCCGGCAGCGTCGAGACCCACCATTAGTATTCTCATCTCTTTCCTTGCAAAGAGGATCTTCACCAGCCTTGAGATTGCCATGCCCATTGCTTCCAACTTCTTTAACCAAACAGGTAGTTAACAGGTAGTTAAAATAACATGAGACCAAGAAAACGAAAACCCTAAAGAAAAGAAAATCCTTTTTCCTATATCATTTACAGGAAGAATAAACTGAAGGAGCGAGTTACCGGAGCGGAAAATCAGGCGGCCGAGAAATGATATGATAGTTCAAGGGCTGATCAGAAGCACAGGGAAGTAAAAGAAATAGGCATTCGTGTGTTATATAAATTATAATAAATAAGGATTCTTTTACATTATATTTGTTTTTTTGTATATATGATAGTGGCAGCAAAGGAATAAAGGAGCAAGAGAACTGGATTCTGATGAAGATTGGAGGAGAATAATATAATTAAAAGAACGATTGCTTTTAATCGTTTGGGAATAATTTCATGCTGCAACTGTGCCGGGATGGGGATGGCTGTGATATATATACATTCACGTCGCAAGTTGGCGGGAAAAAGAATGTACATAGGATTTGTTGATCGAATATCGTCCATCATGGGGAACGTCGTAAGAAAATAACAGGCTGGTGTTACATGCATGCCTTAGTAGAATTTAGGGTTGATCAAATATCGTCCATACGACAGATTTTTACCGGACAGTATCTGCCATATGACAAGATATTCTACCCCGAAGTGCTCGTGTTTTGAGCGTAGCGGGATCTGATTGTATTTGATTCACAATTCCGAACAACAAATTATTGAAAACGTGTTCTCGACGGAATGTGAAAGCTTCCAAGGAGAGTAACAAATTTGTTAGCATTGCCTGAAACTGATTAAAGTATTGTGGGAAACCATGAAATCTAATCCAAAACAATATCATACATGCATATCATAACATTTTCATTGTACAGATGACAAATCAAAATTGCCAATTAAAAAGGGGACGAACTCTTTTTACAATTTTTAGTAATACTCATAGACAATTCATGACAAAATCTGTGATCATATACGTCTTGATATCCGAAATGTAATGCGCTAGTCATTTTTGGAGATGGCATCCTTGGCGGATTGAAGGGTGTTTGCCACCGCAGCTGCAGCAGTAGTCAGGACTCCGCCGCTGGTATTTGTCTTGGCGGAGGGATGTGGCTGGTGAACCACCTGCACATTCCTTTGTTCTTGGCCTTGCCCCGCAGATGACCGGATGTCTACTGTGTTCACCTTCGCCTCCTTGGCATGCTGTGCATTTATCTCCTTAATTTCCTGCATGAAATTCGATTCAGAAAACGAAGAAACTACAAGAAAAATGTAAAAAGTAAACAGATTAAAATTTGGGAGTGATCATACCTTGATGGCTTGTGCATTCATTTTGTAAGTGGTAAATAATTAACTCTGTCAGCTTCTTTAGGGAAAAATGGAGGTATTTATCACTGCATAGTGTTTGATGGGACGATTTCTCAGCCGAAGGAAGAGGAGCTCGAATGGTTGCCAAACATCCACAAGTTAACCATTTAGATTTTAGGACCTTTTTCATTTACTTTTATTACAAAATCCTACAACATTGGCTTCAAAAATCTTGTTAATTTATCAACCAGACTCATATTCTAGAACGCGTACCACACTTTTCATTAATAATTTTGTTCAATCGTAGAGTTTGGATGAAAAATTTTCAAAAGTTTGTAGGCGTTGTCTTTACACGCATTCCTATTAGTCTAGGTGGTGTTTGTGCGAATATCCGAAACATATTTTTCATTTAAGGGTTATTATACAAAATGATCCCTGAGATTTGCATGATCAATAGAAATGGTACAGATTGAAAATCAATAGCAATGGTCCCTGAGATTGTCCACCATCCATGATTTTGGTCATTCCGTTAAAAACGATTTTGGACAATTTTCAAAGCTTTGTAACTCAATCATTTCTTAACCAAATTCGGCCCATAATAAATCAAAATGAAGATAGGAAAGTGTAGAATAAGATTATACCATTTGGAAGCCCAATGGTTGCCGGATATGGCCAGCAAATAGCCTGAAAAGTGACTGGTCTGTAGGAAAACTGGAAAACTAGCCGAAAACTGGGTAAACTTTAAACGTTCATAACTTCTTCAATACTCAACCAAATCGACTGATTCAAAAATGAAAATAAGACTTCTTGACGAGACGAAGAGAAGAGTACCTTTTTCGAAGGCTAACTCGCCGTGATATGGTTGGACAACGGCTCGAAAGTGGCTAACCATTTTCAAGTTAGCCACTTTCGAGCAGTTTTCTGGCCAAACCACGGCGAGTTAGCAGTAAAAAAAAAGATACCATTTTCTTTGTCTCGTTTACAAGTATGATTTTTGTTTATGAATCACTCGATTTTGTTGAGTATTGAAGAAGTTATGAACGTTTAAAGTTTACCCAATTTCCGGCGAGTTTTCCAATTTTCCCGCCGACCAGTCACTTTTCAGGCTATTTTCCAACCATCTCCGACAATCATTGGGCTTCCAAATAGGTATAATCTTGTTCTACACTTTCTTATCTCCATTTTGATATATTATGGATCAAATTTGATTAAGAATCAATTGAGTTACAAAACTTTGAAAATTGCCCAAAGAGTTTTTAACGGAAGGACAAAAATCATGAATGGTAAACAAACTCAAGGACCATTTCTATTGATTTTCAATCTTAGGAACCATTTCTATTGATCATGCAAATCTCAAGGACCATTTTGTATAATAACCCTTCTTTTAATAAGGAACAAAAACACACATCAACAACAACAATAACAAAGTTTTTTCCCACTAAACGGGATCGGCATAAAGGGTATAAATCCTGTAGCAGAAATTAAGATATTTTCATTCATATTGTACCTGCTTCTTCTACCTTACAACAGAGAAGCATGAGACTGCTCTCAATCCAACAAGGCATAAAATCCCATGTCCCATGCCAATTACTTTGTTGAACTACATTTCGACAATTATATCAAACGGAACCGAAAATATAAGGGTAAGACTAAGAAGTTTAATGGATGACTGTTTTATGCAGAGATGGAACTGTGGAGATCAGTAAGTCATAAGGGGTGACCCACTACAATGGACATCAGAAGCGTCGGAGATCCTTTGTTTTGGAGATAATGTCGTCATGGCAGCAGCGTCAACGTCGAGATTCAGGTAAGTTTTCCTCTTTTGCGTCTCTGAACTTGCCTTCTCGTCTGAAGCTTCAATGATTGGACTCAAGGGCTCCACTTCCTTTGGGGGGCCAGACAGCATGGCTTGAGCTTCTGCCACCACCGATGCATTATCATCAGTTGCATATAGAATTTTCTGTACAGCAGCAACAACCTGTATCAGCAGCAATAAAGACCATCAGCTTGCAGTTTGCCTATTTGTAGTGGTCACAGAGAAAAGTTTCAAGTAATTCTGACACCAAAGAAAACCAAAACCGAAGAGTGAAAGTACAGTACAGTTAGGTGTTCAATCTCAGGACTCTGGCAAAGTATCTCAATATCCCTGAGCTTTGCAAAGTAGAAATCCCGCTCCTTCTCAAGGCTATCCACCGACAGCTTCAACTCCGTGATCTGCATTCAAATTAGCATTAGACCATCTAAAATTTGTTGACTGAATTCTCCCTCCTGTACTTTCTGAAAGTACCTGTTCATCATATGCAGGGGGAGTAGGGCCTCCACTAGAAGAAGGCCTCGAGGTCTTCCCTGATTGACTTGTGGAGTTCACAGAAGGTGCTACATCATTTCTTCGAGCAGTGTGGGAGGACTGAGATCTTTGGGTAGCTGCTGCACCTTTAGCTGATGATTGCAATTGGGCACCTCTCTTATTTCCTTCTTTCCCAACCTTGCACGCTTCTTTCCCTCCTTTGCAAGCTTCTCTTCTTTCCAGAGCATTGTAACTAACAGAGACAACAAAAGGTATATCATCTATACACACAATTTCCCCCTAATTTCTTTGAAATAGCTGAAAGGCCAAAAAACTAGCAAACTGTCTTGAGTTAAATATTTCATCGGTTCTGTTCCGTAAGTATCCTATTCAAGGGTATGTTACGAATTTGCAGAGCATGATGGAGCCAGTAACTCTCCAATGACTAACCTAACAGAAAGGTGCTACCAAACGGAATGCAAATGAGAGAGCATAACTATAAAATGTCGAAATTAAATTTGATTCCTACAAAGGCAACAAATTGAATCAAAATGAAAATTCACAAGAATACGAGTTTTAAATTCATAGATGGATGAATTGATGTGTTTCAGCATGCCTATCAGATTTACAAACACTCAAGAGTTCAATTTACAACAAAATGCAAACCCAGACAGCATATAAGAGTGATATCATTAAACCCCTAAATCGATATTAAATGAAAGGGAATTTCAAGAAAACAAATGCAATTAGGCGTCAAACTTACTTGCTCATACAGCCTCCATTGACAGAATCGCAGTATCGTTTCATCCACTGCATAAACTCCAAATTATCAAGCGGCCTTCCTTTCACGAGCTTGCTCACCTCAATGTACTAAAAAAACCCCCCAAAACACACACACACACACAGAAAACAAAAAGGGTAAACACATCGCAGAAATTGAAGAAAAAAATGAAGATCAAATCTACTCCGGTTAGATTTAAACTACAAGAAAGAAAGCGAAGAAGATTGAACCTTGGTGATTTTGAGTTTGTTGAAAACGTCCTGAAGGACCTTGTAGTTCTGAATCATCTCGTACTCACTCTTGGCATCAAAATTGACCTTGTGCATCGGCACAATACCATTATGAACGGCATCCATGAGCTGGCAGTGAACGGCACCGGAACAAGCCTACAAAACATAAATCGGAGAAAATCGATGAGCCGAAAGAGTAATTCGAAAGGTAAAATGTTAGGGTTAGGGTTTGGAGAAAATACCTCTTCGACTTTGCTGAGATTGAGATGGAGAGTGGAGTTGATCCATGCCAAGATCTCTGTCCTGCCTACGAAGTAAGCACCGTCCATCATACCAATATTCGTCGCCATGGGAGATTCTGGTAAGGTCTCTGCGTCGAGAGAGAGAGAGTGAGAGAGAGGGGAATTTAAAAATGGGAGGCGTTTTGGGGAGCGGGATCTTCTCAGTTTAAATTCAAAAGTGGCTTTCGGATCGAACCGTTTGTCTGGAAAGTTGGACAGCTGGGCTTTTAAACAGATTTACAGAAGCCCAAACATTAAGCCCAATATTCAGGCTGCTTCTTGAAAGTGCGTCTGTGTTATTTGCTTTTTTTTGTTTTTGTCAAACGATGGCAAAGCGTAATGTTGGGATAGAGTTCGTTTGGATGTAACTTTAAAATGATTGCAAACGTTTTTTGTGAAAATATTTTGGAAATAATTTTTAATAAAAATGCTAGTAAATTCTAAAAAAGCACTTCAAAGTGCTTCATGAAAAAGCACATAACTGATGTTTCTTGTAGAAAACACTTTAAGTGCTTATGGAACCTGAAAATATTTTCTCTAAAAGCGTTTTCAATTATTTTAGGGGTGTGATATCCACACACCTTATTTTACTTCTCACACACCTTTTTAATTTTCGGCCGTCAGATCAGATGAATTGAAGAAGATCAATGGACAGAAATTATCAAGGGGTATGTAAGAAGTAAAATGGGATGTGTGGATAGCACATCCCTTATTTTAAAAACACATCCAAACATGCCCCTAATAGTTAACATGGACTTTTGTCACATCCCTCACGATTTTGTTTCTAGGAACTCAGACGAGAACTTCCCAGTGGGTCACCCATCATGGGATTGACCTCACGCAAACTCGCTTAACTTCGGAGTTCCGATGGAACCCGAAGCCAGTGAGCTCCCAAAAGGCTTCGTGCTAGGTAGAGATGATAATATACATATAAGACTTACATGATCCACTATCCAGTATAATGTGGGATGTTACACTTTTGTATTGAGGGAATTGATTTTTGCACTTTTTTTTTTTTGACATTCAGCACTTATATATGTTTAATTGCGTCTCTTCATTATTTTTTATTTTTTAATTTCTTTTTTTTTTTGTACTTTGGTTCGATCCAATATCTAAAAAAAGAAGAGAGTCGTGCATTGCAAGAAGTAAAAAAAGGTTGCAAAAATCACTTTTATTGTACTACCTTATGAAGCAAGAATACTCTAATTTAGGTTCATATAGCGTAACACATACGCGACATACATGCATGTATTGGGGGATGATATTGATACTGGGGATACGTGGCGGTATGCAGAGAGACGAATAGGGAAGTAAGGGATAGCATAAACTTGTCTATCAAACTGTAAATATTGTAAAGACGACGTGCAATATGTTGTAGACATCTTCAAGAACATAGAAAACTTGCGGTGTGATTACTTGTGACTCACATCAATTCCTAGATTGTAGGAATATTCAAGAATATAGAAACTTATCTAATCTCCAATCGGATTAGGTTTTTGTCCTTTGCGAAACAAAAATGATCAATCTTAGCGAAGTCTGCAAACTTCAGCTACTTTTAAGGAATACAAGATGATGATGGCATCACTGGTCTATTTATGAATCAGAGTTATTGAGTTCGTGATCGAATTTTTAAAGTGTTCGTATTTTAATACGTCTTACTCTGCTCTACAAAATCACGGTCTCACAAAATCTTATACATTTTTGTAATACTAGGTAACAATTGATTGTGTTTGTAAGATAAACGATGGCACAAAAGTATTTATCAACATTAAAGTCACCATCATAGCTTAAATCTTTGACATGAAATGACCAACATCTGCATCATCGACAAATTGGCATATAAATTATAAAAATCTTTAGTCAATTGGCATACAAGGACACTATTACGTTCCTCTACCTCCTATTATTTTGAGGTCCAAAAATAAAGTCGTGCACGATTCTGGGAATATTTAATGGTATTCCAACAACATACCTAATTATTTGACAAAGCAACATACCTAACTAATGACCCAAGAACTTCAATAACTTTAATGTGCATGATTCAGCTACATTTGTTTTACCTCTTTTAACTAAGATTGGATTGCCACTCAGTACTACGTCTAGTGGTGTTTATTTTTATTTGAAAATGAAGGTTTGATATTCGAATTTCGTGAATTATGAATTTATACCAAATTAGACTGTTTATTGTGTAGCTTTACTGAACTTTCTATTTCTATAATATAAAAATCCCGATTTACTAAAAAAACCAAGACTGGCTTAGATACTACTATTGTCTCGTGTTTGACGATACCAGGACTTAAGAATAAATGAGTTTGGCTGGGACTTGCATGGCCTTCAGACCTCATTAACTGGTTTTACACAATCCTGCGTAGAAGTGGGGGATTAGCTTGACTACAGATTCTTTCCTCTTCCCTCGTCCGCAACTTCATCGTATCTTCAGTTCAACGCCGTCAATTCACGCTCCACCCCTGACAGACCATGCGCACCAAAAATTCCGATCAAAATGTTTATGTCAAAACCGTCAAGAAATTCCCACAAAAAATTCCGTCAAGATTAGTCATGCCTCAACCCTTTTCGTCATTTGACGCTGTCAAGAAACTCCGATTGAAAATTCAAAGTTCTTGTTGAAGCTCTGCCTTAAGAGCTTCACAAATCTGTCCAATTTGGGTTGGGTAAATCTGTCTACAGGAGGGGGTGAAGAATCACTGCGCATATTAAAATTGAGGACGTTGATCAGCTAACAAATTGTCAAATTTTCATCTAGGTTAACAAAATTGCCCAGAAGAAAATGGTCATTTTTGAAAGAGAAAGAGAGAGAAACGGAGGTGATGTAAGGGTTTATTTTGTTTTTTAGTTTTAATAATTTTTTTAAAAAAGTAAAAGTGTGAATTAAAAAAATGGTTAATTACACCAACACCCTCTCAGATTTATCGTATTCTCACAAAATCCCTTTACGTTCGAAACATAACACTAATATCCCCTAAGGTTCTAGTTTACTTTCACTTAACCCCTTTAGGGTTGACATCACCTTAAAATATTTTCTTAAAGACAAAGTTGCCCTCATTTTTAATTACTTTAAAAAATAAAAAATAAAACATTTTTAAAAATCAATACAAGGTTTAGGGCCTCCCCTTCGCATTCACCACATCATAATGGAAATTCTTAACATGTTTCACCTCCTCCCTAGCCGTCCTCACAAGAAGCCACTCATTTGTCTTGGTTTTTCAATCAATCAGCCTCTCCACAAGCTTGGTTTCACTCTTCGCCAGAAAAAATATGAAAATGGTCGAATTCCCAAGAATCTTCCTCACGAAATGCAAGTTGTCGTTGGAAACTTTGAAAGTTTTTATGCCAAATTCCGGAGAAGATCCGAGTACATGGTAGATAAAGAAAGATAACGATACTTCTTTAATTTTTTTTTTATTTTTTATTGTTTAATGTAAGATTTTAAATTGGATTTTTATTCTATTTATTTAAAAGATTTTTTGTTTTTTTTTAAAGTATAATTATAATGAGGGCAAATTTATCCTAAAAGGGTTGCGTGAAAGTAAATTAGAACCTCAAAGAGTGTTAGTGTTATGTTTCAAACATGAGAGGTTTTGTGAAAACACAACGAACCTGAGAGGGTGTTAATGTAATTAACCCATTAAAAAATGGTAAAAAGGTTTTTGGGTATTTAGTCCAAGACTAGTCTAGCATTGCAGCTTGTCTAGTTCGAGTTAGTTTGTCGTAACAAATGAGACCTAACAAAGATTAATTATTAGTTGATCAACACTTAACCTACTACAAGGACTAATAATCCCAAAAACAGATGGATTCATACTGAAAAAAATTGGATGGATGAACCAACTACAAAGACTTGAGAATAAAATAAATCATACATACATCTCTCTCTCTCTCTCTACAAATTAAGGGTACAAAACATGTCATTAGAGGGCATAATAATATGATGATGAAGCAGAAGATGGGAATTTCTCAAGGACTTGTAGAGCTTCTTTCATTGGTGGTCTCTTTTGTGGGACAGGTGACGCACAATTGTACCCCAACTTGAAGCAGGACAACAGGGCCTCCTCTTTGCCCTCCAATTCACCTCTGATTGCCATATCTGCCATCCGGAAAGCCCTGCCGCTATCATCCACTCCAACAAGCCCAAGACCCTGCACTGCCTCATCCACAACCACAACTTTCCCGGTTAGTAGCTCAAGCAATATCACCCCAAATGAGTACACATCCCACTTTGGATTCGGCTTCAGGCTCCGAAGCGATTCAGGGCAATGATAAGGCGATGTACCCATAGAGCTAGGGCTCGGACTTGGGCCTGGACTAGGCCCAAGTGCAAAATCCTGAAAGCTATCCCGTGAAGCCGTTGATCTCTTGCTTCCGAAATTTCTTATCGAGCTTCCAATTTTGTAACTTGTGTCGCCGGACAAAAGTCTCTCAAGTCCAAAATCACCAATCCGGGGCTCCATGTCTGTGTCCAAGAGAATGTTAGTCGGCTTGAGGTTTCCGTGGACGTGCTTCTTTTCGTGGAGGTACGCAAGCCCACGGGCAACCCCTTTCGCTATATTGAGCCTCGCTTCCCACGGTAAATGACAAGGCGACGAACCCACCTTCCCTGAAATTTTTAGGGCACATAATTAGTATCAAATTTCAATCATGATACATAGTACCAAATTTGGAAAAAAAAAACATATCTCATTCACAAAGTCATTTATTAGACAACGAGGGTGACTCTTTAAAAAATGAGACTCAACATGATTTTCTCTCACCTCATGTTTGTGGCATAATGTTTTATAATGTTAACACGAAAAATAACATTTAACTGTACTAAACAAGCAAAAACCATTGGCTGATATTATCATGTGAGTTAAATTACTGTGCGGAAGCGTCAATATCGGAAGACTTCTGGGGTAAGTGATGGTAACAAAAGGAGAGATACCACTACAGACGGTTGACTTGAATGCATTAAAAAATAAATGTTAAGTTATACCTACTTCACCGTTGGAGGAGAAATTTTTTTAGTGTGATTGTCACACTGTAGCGGTTGGTTTTCAGTGCACGTTAGCGAAACCCGATACTATTTCACTAACATGCACATGCACAAAACTCAGAGGAAAAACAGAGGGAAACAGAGAGAACTCACTGTAACGTGCGTTTGCGAGGCTGCCATTTGGAACGAAATCATAGATGATGAGCTTCTCGTCGACTCCCCAATAGAACCCACGAATTCGAACCAGGTTCGGGTGGACCAGTTTGGCCACAAGCTTGATTTGGTTCTCGAAATCCTTGAACCGGTCCACACTCTGCTCCCCGATCCTCCGAACCGCCAAAGAGCTTCCGTCTTCGAGCACCGCCTTGTACATTATGCTCGAACCGGTGGCGCCCAGAATGTACGCCGAGGCTTTGAGCAGCGTCTCGAGTTCTAGCTCCTTTGCGCCGTCGACGGTCACCAAGGTCCCGCCTTTGCTCTGTTCCTGCTCTTGCTGCCGTTTGCTTTCGTTACCCTTTTGCGGATTCTGCTCTGTCTGATGTTCTTCGGAATCGGAGGCTGTCGTGTCGGAGCTGTCTTCGTCTTCGCCTCTCTTTCTCAGGCACGACCATCTGGTGAACCCCTTCGATTCCGACGAGGAAGAAGACCAGTCATTGACTACCGGCGTTGAATTTGTATTAGCTTCTTTCTTGAGCTTTGCTGTGATCTCGGCCTTGGTGCTCTTCTTCTTCTTCAATCTGTATATGTACAGGAAAACGAGAGCGAGGATTCCGATTCCGGCTATGTCGCCGGCGACTATTCCGACAATGGCGGCTGGTCTGAGCCCGGTCTGGCTTTGTTGCGAATGCCCATTTTTCGATCTCCCCGAACTGGTCTCTGGGTTCCTGGGAATTGCAGCAAATGCCGGAGGAGATTTCGGAGACAAAGCATTGGGTGAAGAGGAAGGAGAAGAAGGAATCGGACATGGGTTCTTGGTCGGTGGGCCACACAGATCAGGATTGCCGGTAAAAGACCCAGTTTCTTGGTTCAAGAACACCTGAGTTTCCGGGACTTCGCCGGTAAGATTGTTGAAAGATAGGTCGGTTTTGGCGTTACCTGGAATTTTCTCGGAAAATTCAGGCGGGATTTTCCCGGAAAGTCCGTTGTGGGAGACGTTGAAGTAACTCAGACTGTTGCCGCCAAAATCAGACGGCAGAGAGCCGTTGATCAGATTCGAAGACAGATCCAAAACCTGAACGGATTCGAACCCGCTCGGAAGACCGCCTGAGAAGTAATTATCCTTCAAAGAAATGATCGTTAGAGAGTGCAGAGAAGACAGATTGGTGGGTAATTTTCCCGCCAAGGCATTGTCGGAGAGGTTGAGACTCTGGAGGTTGGTCAGCTGAGACACCATGTCCGGCAGCTCCCCGGAGATCAAATTGTACGACAAATCAAGAACCCGAAGCTCCGTGGCGTTGAAGAGCGACTGTGGGAGCGAACCGTTGAGGGAATTGTTGGAAAGATCAAGACTTTGAAGGTGTTCGATCATGCCAAGGTTGGCAGGGATCGAACCCAGAAGCTGAGAGTTGGGAAGATTCAAGCTTACCACTCGTTGGTAGTTTTCCGACGAGTTCCTCGGCTGCGGGGCGCAAACGACGCCTCTCCATGAACATGGCGTCTCGTCGTACGAATTCCAGGTGGCAAGAACGGACTGAGGGTCACGGAGGATAGAGAACTTGAAAGAAAGTAACAGAAGTCCATCTGTGTCGAGACCAAAAGATTGGACGGAGAGGAGAAGAAGAAAGCATGTAAAAAAATGGAGGCTTTGGGAGCTCATGATGTTTTTGCACTGGAATCCCACATTTCTCTGTCTAGAAAAACACAACAGATTGAAGTCTAGAGAGAGAGAGAGACAGAGAGAGGAGTGAGATTTATGGGAAAAGTGAGGCCGGTGAGAGGGAGGAATTGTTAAATATTATGGGGAAGAGTAGGTGTCGTGGGATGAACAGCTCACAAGATTGGCACCTATGGTACTGTTTGGTACGTAGGACGAGACGGAACAGAGTTGAACAAGACGTTTCGTCTCATGTTTGGTGCGCCTAAAACGGGTGAAACGAGCTGTTCCACAGGATGAGTTTTAGGTGAATTTTCGTTCCACCTCACTCTTCTGGAACGACTCGTTCCACATCTGTGAAACATAAAATTATAACATTTTCGTCTCCTTCTTCTTCCTCCTTATTTCCATCCGAGGGCATCTTTGCTCCCGCTCCGTTCCGTTCCATTTTGTCCCGTCCCGTCCCATTCCGTTCCATCCCTTCTCGTCTTCATACCAAACGATACTATGTTTTTCGCAACAGCTGATGATCTGCAAATATATAAAATTTAGGGAAAACTAATAAAAAGGATTTGAAAATTTTAAGTTTTAATGATAAGGACAAAATAAAGGATAAAGTGAATAATATCAAGGTTAATTTTTAATGTAAAAATATAATTTTTTGTTAAAATAAATAGTACCACGAGCTTTTAATTAAAATTCTCTAAAATTTAAGCACTTTTCTGAAGTTGATTAAATGCCTTCACATATTACCTCATCTCTCTGCCATGCTCAATATTTAAGAAATAAATAAATAAAAGAAAATCTTAGATAAAAAAAAAAAAGAAACAAAATTATGGAGGTGAAGTGAATAGGATCTTTTGCTACATGACACATAGGTGGAGTTTGGCAGTTGCAGAAGCTTTTCTCCTTTTAGATTGACTTTACAGAACCATTTGTTCTTATTTTAATTAGGTTTTTGGATTATTATCCAGAGGTTGAATGTTTGCCTTCTCATTTTTATATTTTCTTCATGTCTTTTTATTTATGTGATCATGATTAAGCCACGTTAACCTTTTATATTTCTATTACTTTTTGTTTTATTATTTCTATAAAAAACTAATATAAAAGATTGACGTGGCTTAATCGTGACCACACATCACAAGAATGCATGAAAAAGGTACGAAAATAAGAGGGCAGACAATTCACTTCCTTATTATACTGCTGCTACCAGTAAAATAGGCTAGTGACCTAAACAGTGGGGTTCCCATGATTTTCAAATAATAGAGTCACAATATCAATCAAAAAAGTTTTATTGAGTTATTTCATTTAGCACCTAGTATGCACATGCCAAATATTGTCAACATATGCTGACAATTACTATTATTTGTAAAGGTTTGGCGAGGGTGGATGCAGAATAATGTGGAGTAATGTTAAAGGCTGCCAAGGGTTTGGTCCAATTTGATTTGTTCAACTAAAGAATTTTATACAAGAATAGAGAAAGGAAGACAAATATGATAGAAGAAAGTAGGAGGAGGAAGTTGTAATTTAGTTTGCCTTAGCTATTTATAGGAGTTGGATATAAGATACAAACAAATATACATGAGGTTTTTTAAGTTGTTGGGATCAAGGATAACTAATAACCCCATGCTGGCTCACCGCTGGACCTAAATCTCCCAAATGATAGGTGTCAATATGGCACATAAATTTTTACACTTCTCACTCTACATTCTATCTTGCATTGAGCCGGACTGCAAGATATAAGGTAGGGATTTTGGGTAACGATTCTCACACGTACTAACATAAAAACTTGATTTTTTAAGCTAAATTCAAATAAACTATGAAATTTATTTTGAGTAACGATGATCTCATACGTACTGAGATGAAAACTCCATGTATTGTGTCCTACTCTGAAATATAATGTACGAAATTTATTGTGAGTAACGATTCTCAATTTCTCATACTTACTAATATGAAACCACGACGCATCTAAAATATAAAGCACACAATTCATTTCGAGTAACAATTCTCATTCAATCGTAATAATGTAAAAAGTCGACATGTTGAGTTGAACTCTGAGATATAATATAAGAAATTCATTGTGCGTAACGATTCATACATACTAATGTGAAAACTTGACGTATAAAGTTGAACTATAAAATATAATGTACGAAATTCACTGTAAATAACAATTCTCATACTTACTAGTATAATACCTCAAAGTATTGAGTCGGACTCTGAAATACAGGCACTAAATTCACTATGAACATTGATTCAAATATCCACCGAGATCCCTTCACAAACATCATTAATTATTGGTTTTGAGAAGTTCTGGTACAATTTTGACTGGTAGCCAAGTATATACGGATGGAGGGTACCAGGGTGAAAAGGTTTTACTTTCTCACAATTCAACATTATCAAGGGTAGTAAACCATCCACATTTATTAACGTAGTTACAACTTACAATAATATAGGTTATTCTGGGGGAGAGATTCAGTTGTTTAACTCGGAGAATATCTCGCCTTATAGCTACAACTCTCATCACCTGATAAATTTTTTTTTCCAGTTATAAATAATAATTTTTCTAATGATACTCAAGCGTCGAGGCTCTATGAGGAGAGCGAATTGCAATAGAAGGGTTTTCCGTCAAGCGGCATTCTGAGTTCAATATGCAAAGTCACGTGAAGAGAAACTTACACATAACACTGTTGTTAGATCCCACATCATCCAGGATAAAGGATCATCTATGCCTTATATGTACATGCCCTCCTCCATATAGCACGATGCCTTTTGGGAGCTCACTAGCTTCGGATTCCATCGGAACTCCAAAGTTAAGCGAGTTCGCACGAGAATAATCCCAGGATGGGTGACATACTGGGAAGTTCTCATGTGAGTTCCCAAAAACAAAACATTGAGGGCGTGGTCGGGGCCCAAAGCGGACAATATCATGCTATGACAGAGTCGATCCCAGGATGTGGTGGAGCCTAGCTCGGGATGTGACAATTTGGTATCAGAGCCAATTCCTAGCCATAAGTGTGCCGACGAGGACGTCGAACCCCTAGGGGGGGTGGATTGTTAGATCTCACATCACCCAAGGGAGAGGATCCTCTATGTCTTATATGTACATGCTCACTTCTATATAGCACGAGGGCCTTTTGGGAGCTCAATGGCTTTGGGTTCCATCGGAACTCCGAAGTTAAGCGAGTTCGCGCGAGAGCAATCCCAAGATGGATGACCTTCTGAGAAGTTCTCGTGTGAGTTCCCAAAAACAAAACCGTAAGGGCGTGGTCGGGGACCCAAAACGGACAATATTGTGTTACAACAGAATCGAGTCCGGATCAGGATGTGACAACTGTATTATTAGTTCAAAACACCACAATAACAGTAAATTCATTTCAGATAATTGAGCTATTCGAGGCACAAACTTTAAACGAACAATTGATGACAATAATGCAAAAGAAGTCTTTGCTATCATTTCTAGTAGCTCCAAGTTGTCCACATTTTAATGATGAACAGGCTCAGCCGGACCACCACATCTCTTTGTGGGACTACTTTTCTGAAATACCAAACCAAGGCTGTAAACTTGGCATGGAATTTATAACTATATTGGCACCAAGCTATACTTGGGTTTGCGTTTTAGTCCTCCACTGCACTAAGGAAGCTACTTTAATCGAGTATTAATCCAAAAGCTAACTAATCTTTACCACGCAGATGCATTAAGTAATCTCAGCCATCTCCATCTAATTTTTTTTAGAATTAACTTGGCTCCTCATTTGAGGTGAAATTCCTTCTTAAAATATTCGTAGTTGTTTCATAGAACTTCATACTTATGATTAGAACAGTTCATAATATAAATTAGATGTAAAGTTCATCTCTACAAAATATAGATAAAATATGAGATAATTTGGTTTTCGAAATGTATATACAAATAGATGGTAGGAATTGATAAAATTTTTATAAACCCTTTATCTATTTATTACAATTGATTAATTAAATCATATTAGTTCTAATTAATTTTTTAATGAAATTATCTTTAAAAAGTAATTTAAAATATAAACGATTATAATTAATTATAAGAAAAAAAATTCTATAAATCAGCTAAAAAAAGTTTTGAGGAAAGTTCCTCCACACCGTGGAGGAGCCAAGCATTATTAATTTTTTATTACCTGTTTTCTTCTTTCTAAAATTGCTAAGTGCGAGGACAGCTTCATTCACTGACTACTTTGGCTTTTTATGGAAAAAATTATTCAACAAATTAGAGTAGGTGATCCGTATCATATTTAATTAATTAATCCCAGATGCAAAAGTCTAAAGTGCCTGCTTTCAGATTAGGGTTATATATATGGTCCCATTTTCTTACATATCTCTGTTGTATTAAGAAAAGCTCATTTTGCTCCTTAAACTTTAAGATCCATATCTCTTTATATATACAAAGAATAAAAAGAATTTTAACGAAAAACTTCTGATACTGTTTACTTTAACGAAAAATCATTTTTTTATCTTAAAAATTAAATTCTGGTACTATTCACTTTACCTTTTATTTTGTCATTATCGTTAAAACTCAAAATTTTTAAACTCTTTTCATTAGTTTTTCGAAATAAAATGTATCGAAAAGCCCCAAAGCATTGAGCTTCTTTATGTTAAAATGCAAGCAACTTATACTACAGTAGAAAAACTGTTGAAGGTGGAGATCTGGTCATGCATGTTTAGAAAGCTACCAAACAAGTACCCTTTCAAAAGGACAATCTGGATCCAACCATGATCATAATAATACACTGATACAGACAATAAATGCTAAAACTTCGTACAATTAAGCGTCTTTCAAAAAAAAAAAAAAAAAAATTGCATGCAGCCAAGTGAAGAGAAAATTATTCTTACAAAGCTCAATACGTAACAATAATTGTCATCGCTCGAGCACAGAGAACTATTTATCCTTCTCAAACCCTTTTGAAGACAAATGTTGCATCACTTAAATAAAATGAAATGTTTCATTGATCAAGACAGTTAGTTATAAATATTCTTCTCAAACGGAATTTCATTAGTATTCACTCTTGTTGAATGGACTCTTTTACATTTATACTCTATACATATGTATAAATAGAAAATCTTTAAGGGAAAGGATTCTCATTTTTTTATAA